ATAACTTACTTTCATGTATAACATGATATTTCACCTTCGATGTCTATAATATTGTCTGTCCATTCTCACTGATGTCTGAAACCAGGGAACATGCAGGACATATGATGAAATTTCTACACCGTTAGGCTGCAAGCCTAAAGCTGAAAGTGCTCATTCCATGCCCCAAAGCAGAGAAAACCAATTTAAGACTAAAGTCATCACTGGGAAAATGGAAGCAACAAATGTAAAGGCGGCCATTACCGATGATTCTCTTACTGCTAGTTTGTGGGTTCTGAACAAAATCCTCAGGGATACAGAAATGATGTAACTCCCCATAATCCCTTTTTAGTAGATGTTAAAGCTTGAACTCAAAACTTAGGTGTCCCCAAGACTCTTAACCATCAACTATACCCCTACAATGACATGATTTCTCACACAGGACAGGACATTCATGACTGTCATCAGTTATATAAGAAGGAAGACTAATCTATTAACCAATTAATGGAAACACTGTGTTTAGACAAGTTTTATATGAGGTCTTAAGTCATCTCTGGGTGCGGTATACAATCCTGGGATGAAAGTTTCTATGTATAGTCATTATGGTGGTATTACTAGCAATCGCTAGATAAGGCAAGAATAAGATGTTACATCCCATAATTATTTACAATTGTCATTGATTGCTTCCAGGAGTAGTGTGTCTATTGCCTCTTAGAGATAATTCTTAAAAGAGAGCATGATGATGTGGAAAACCTATGATTTTAACTTCATGTTCCCCACCCTTGTGTAAAGTGCTATGTTATTACCCATGGTCATTTAATGATTCAATTTCACACTGGAGAAAAGCACCTGAGAACTAGTCACACTCTCCTACTAGGCTGGAGAAGCAATGATTAAAGGACATTTCTTTTAATTAAAGCTGGCTGAAAACTCCTCAATAGTTTCTATGTAATTTGAAGCAACTTGATCCAGGAGTGGATGTAATAACAAGTATTGCTTTGATTGACAGACTTCTTGGTGAACAAGGAAAGTATCAGAAAGCATGCACCATGTGGCCACAGATCAAGAGATTTTACAAGAAGCTGTGGTATTGTGTATCTCACAGGGTCTCATGTCCTGTCTGGAAAATGTAGGAAGGCTGAGACTCAAGGAGGACAAATATCACATATATTTGGAAAGATACAAAAACAAATACTGTGGCCAGAAGAAGACCTTTGAGTCGTCATTATGTATCTGTCTAGGGCATTAGATTTCCATCTCCAGAGTGAACATTAGAGGCAATAGTATCAATAGATTCAACTTTAGTGATTCCCTTAACTTAAATAATGGCCTTATTACTTTCCAACAATGTGACCTTGGTTCAAACAGTTAAGCATTCTGAGTCATAGACTTCTCATCTATTTGTGAAAAAGTGAAACAAAACAAGACAAAAAATAAACAAACAAACAAAAACAACAACAATAACAACAACAACAAAAACCTCTGTCAGGTCTAGTGCCCACATCCTTGTATATATACTTGCAGCCCATGGTAAGTCTTATTTAGGGAAAGGTTGGTTTTTTTTTACAGCTTTTCCATTGGCAAATATCATCCTCATCTCTATGATATAGCAGAAGGACTATATTATTCTGAGTCCTTTCTATATACATAAAACACACACATACACACACACACACACAAAAAAAAGAAAGAAACAAAGACCAAAGACAACAATAACAAACAAAAATAAGGCAGAAAGTAGTGAGATAAAAGATGATTTACCTTTTTTTTAAAAAAAAAGACGAATTTTTAGATAAATACATAGAGGTGACAGTGACTCATGAACATGGGCAAAAATGAGTAAAGTTGTTAATAAAAGGCTGGAGAGAAGACCCATCAGATTAGAATTGCTCTCTAGAAGATGTAGTTGAATTCCCAACACCTACATCTGTAATATAGTTCCAAGTTTTCTGATGCTCTCCACATACAGAAAGGCAGACAAAATGCCTATACACAAATTATAAAAGTAAATACATCTTTAAACATGTTGACCAGAGTGGGAGACTTAAGATGACACAGAGCTGGATTTCCAGACTTGGCTTTTGAAAGGGTATCCCCAGCAACACTAGTAAGAGGAGAAGCATGAACAGCTTCCATGCAGTCTTCCACTGTGATCAACTGCCCTGCTGAAATTATAGACATATATCACCATACCCAGTTTATGTGGTACTGAGGATTGAACTCGGGGCCTTGTCCATGCTAAGCAAGCACTCTACTTACTGGACCAAACTCCCCAGCTCCTCCATAACTTTTGAAAAAATTCTTTAGGACTGACCCTTGGTATTGAGTAGTCAGTCAGCTGAACTCTGGCAAATAGTCATTCTCCTCTGCTACAAAGTGACACTAAATGGAGACAACAGCTTGTGGTTATATATTAACTTATACAATATTATTTATTAATGATAATTAAATTAAAAGGCTATGAGGCCCTGAATTTAAGAGGGAATTAGAAGGTCATAGGGGGAATTAAGAGGGAGACAGAGGAATTGATGCAAATATAGTGTACATACATGAAATTTTTTAAAAAGGAAAGGCAATTTCTCTAACACAGCTCTCTAGCTTTCAAAAACCACAAGGATTTTAGGGAAGTGTTTGGAAATATGGAGGGCAAGTGTTAGATGTGGTAGCACACATACATACTTCCAGTGTTTAGAAGGTAGAGGCAGAAGAATCATGAGTTCAAGGCCAGCCACAGCTACATAAGGATCTTGAGGCCACGCTGACTCCCATGAGACCTTGTCTAACTAAATGAACAAAGAAATGTTAGCAAACAAAAGGCAAGGGGCAAATGTGTGCTCTTCTCTGAAGTAAGCGAAGAAGTGAAGGAAGCAGAAAGGCAGCGGGAAGTTGGAATGGACCAGCTGAATATCCATCAATCATGTAATTCCAGAGGCTTATGAGCAGCTGGGTATCCCTCCATCATGCCATTCCAGAGGCTCATGAGAGGCCACATGACTTCAGAAGTGACTTCAAAAGAATAAAGAGAGACACTTTTCCGGCCCTTGTTGCAAAGCTCACTGTCCTGGTGACTCTGATTGTTTAAATGAAGAATACATAAAGTCTCCAATGAGTTAGTTCCCTAATGCTGTTTATAGACAGGTGAGCAACTGTTCCATGGGAAGCTCAGGATGAACTAGTGTTTGCTCTGCTCAATGCAGAGGTTAGGGTACAGATTCTAACGCTCACTAAATAAGATACCAAAATTACACCAGAATGTTCCAAACCTTGTTCTTTTCTTGGCAACATGGATTGGGAACACAAAGCTAAAATTAACTTTTATCATTTGCTTGATTTTCAAATTGAGCTATCTATTGCCATGGTGGAGGCCCCCTCTGACAGAATTAGGAGCATGGATAAGAAAAGATGATGGTTTTCTTGGCTTCATTTCTGCTCCATATTGTCTCCAACATTCTCCTACAGCTCTATTATTTCTTCTTTTATATGAGTAACACTTTATAACATGTAGTTTGCCGTTTGTGTTCAATAGATATTATTATTGATCTGTACTTGAATCCTTAGTATAAACTTATTTGAAAATATTAGGGTGTATGCAGTGAGATATCCACCCCTTCCCCTGAACCTGCAGCACTAACCACACACCATTTTGGGAATGGTCACAGGTGTGGACGGAGGAGGGTAGGACTAGGTCTGGGGTCCCGACCCCAGTGCTCTCTCTTGCTTCTGGTCAGATCACAGAGAGCAGCCTGGGTGGATCTTTGGTTTGGGAACTTACGGCAGTCACCTGTTTGTTGTGTAAGTAACTTCTCTCTGAATAAAATTATATTAACACATATTGAACTTAGTTCTGTGAATCTTGATCCACTCATCTATAGGTATATGTATAATTTCAGCACACTATTAAAAATGCATAGGGCATTGTGTATAATTAATGCTCATGCAAAAGTAAATACCTATATCATCACATCTGTATTGGTAGTTGTGATAGCATTTGGAGTTGGGCCTTTGGAAGATAACTCAGTTTAGATTATATCACGAGGGTGAGGTAACTATGGCTTAATTTGTGTCCTTGTAACAATTAAAAAAGAGCCCAGGGCCCTCCTTCTTTCTATTACACAAGTCTACAGCTATTCCAGAAGGAACACCCAAAGCAGATCTTTCTGGTCGTCAGTATGACACAGAAACATCAGCTGGGCAGAGTATAGACCTGTGTCTGACAATTCGCAGAACAAAGCTGGAATGGAACACTAAGTGAGAAAACAGGGTTGCTGCTGTGTCTCATAAGATAAAAAGAAAGCCTAGAAGATCCTAAATAAGGAAGGGGGACATCATCATCAACTACTATCTACTTATTTATACCAGGAACCTTTATTTGAATATGTAATATATATGTATAAGATGTTTTGATCAATAACAATTACAGTGACTTAAAAAAAAGTCTCAAAGGGTCATCTAAACTGGTGGTTCTCATCCAATCTGTGGCTCTTAAACTTTTTGACAAACCTTTATCTCCAAAAATACTTACATTACTATTCACAATAGTAGTAGAAAAATGATAGTTATCAGGTAGCAACGAAAAATGAAAAATATGTTATGATTAGGGGTGCACCACAACATGAGGAACTGTATAAAAGACCACAATATTAGGAAGGTTAAAAACTACTAAACAGCAAAGAAATACTTACACAGTCCCTGCCATTCACTAATATTAATGATCCATTAAGGGTTTTTGAAAAAAGAAAGTGGTGACAAACATTTTTGTTTGTTTGATTTTAGAGACAGGGTTTCTCTGTGTAATAGCCCTAGCTGTCTTGGAACTAGCTCTGTAGACCAAGCTGGCCTCAAACTCACAGAGATCTGCCTGCCTCTGCCTCCTGAGTGCTGGAATTAAAGGCAAGTGCCACCACTACCCAGCCTAGTGACAGAACTTTTAAGAGTATCTGAAGGTGTTTATTATCCCAGGGTCCCATCCTGTGCTTGGGAAGGTGGAGATATCTTAGTAGGTCAGAAAATGGAGTCAGACTTACCAATAAAACCTATTAGGAACCACTGATTCCTGGATAAGCTGCCATCTTCTGCCAAATTCAGCGGAGCTGTACAACTGGAGAGAGAAGAAATAGGTCAGCATTGTGGGTCATTGTTCTTGTTCTGAATTCATTAGAACCAAATTCTGGCATGTCCAGGTAAGAGTATCACCTCTGTTTTTCATGTCAATTCTCTAAGTCAGATATCAACCTCTTACTTTAACACTTGAGGGGAGTGGGACTAAGAGGTTATATGATGCATTGCAAATCATATGTTCAGTAAATAGTAAAGAGAACTGGAATTCATAGTGTTCTGCCTGGTAGCAATGTCTCCTGTCCCCCGCCACTACCTCCCCCTACAACAGCCCCGAGAGCATTAGCTATATATAATGGGCAGTATCTAATGTAAAATCAATACTCAGTTTCTGAAGATCCTACTAGATAACTGGTCCTTATGTTGTGAGTTTCTTGAAACAACCAAAGATGAAGGAATGCAGAAAGTACTTCTAGAAGTTTGGAGAAATAACAGGACTAGTCTTTGCTTTCTGTTTGTTTTGTTTCTTCCTTTTATTAAAAATTGATTATATATCGTCATACAATATATCCTGGTTATACCTTTCCCTCCCGCTACTCCTCCTAGTGCCTCTCCACCTCCCCTCCCCTCCAGATCTACCCTCTTTCTGTCTCTCATTAGAAAGTTGTAGTGAGATATTCACTCTGTCCGCACCTGTTGCACTGACCACACCCATTGGGGGTGAGGACAGGTGTGGACATTACCTGGGGGAACTAGGTCTAAGGCAGGGACCCCAGAGTGCTCTCTTGCTTGCTGGACAGAGACAGAGAGCATCTGGAGGCGTCCTTGGGACAGGAACCTGCTGGCGTTCATCTGTCTCTGGTGTAAGTGTTATTTCTCCCTGATAAACATCTATTCAGCCTGTTTTTCCTGATCCTTATTATTCCACAATAGAAAGTAACTGACTTCTAAAAGGGAGCAACCAAACCTAACAAAATAAAAGATAATAAGGTAAATCAAAACTATCATATATAATTTGGACATGGTAGCCCAATAGGAGGAAAGAGTTCCAAGAGCAAGTGCAATGATCATAGACACACTTGTACTCACAGTCAGGATCCCATAAAATAGTAAAAGGAAATCTATTACATTTATGTAGAGGACCTGGTGCAGATCCATTTAGACCCTGAACTCTCTGCTTCAGTCTCTGAACTCATATGTGCTTACTCAGTTGATTCAGAGGGCCTTGTTCTCCTGGTGTCCTTCATCCCCTCTGGCTATTACCTTCTTTATACGTCCTCTTGAGTAGGGTTCCCCGAGCTTGGAGAGGAGTAATTTGATGGAGACTTCCCATTTAGTCTCTCTCTCTCTCTCTCTCTCTCTCTCTCTCTCTCTCTCTCTCTCTCTCTGCATAATGTCTGGCTGTGGATCTCTGCATCTGGTACAGCCACACAAACTGTACAACCAAAAATGGTCAAAAGACTCACCAGGTGACTCACCAAAGCTATTGATGCACCAAGCATGCCCAAAGAACTTACTTCAATTGAGTATTTACTGGGCCTTGGGAAAACATGTTATGACACTGTTAACCTGCCCAAAACGTTTGCATTCAGAAAGTTAGAGATACCTGACTGTTAAATTAAGCCACTCATCGGGTCCACTGTATAGTATTTGATCCCCCAACAAAGGAGAATGTGACATTTTGTTTCAAAGTCTTGTTTTAAAACTTCATTTTACCATTCACTGCCAATGGGATGTTCAGTGTCCCTATTAGGCTCATGTGTAAAAGATAGGTTCTCTGTGATGCCAGTGGGAGGTAATGGGACCTTTGAATAGGGGAGCTTTGTAGGAGCCACCATTAGTCATTGGTGGCATATCCTAAATGTTACTGTGACACCTTAGTGTCTTCTTTTTCTCTTTTGCTGTCATTCCATAAGTCAGCACTGTAGCTCAGCTTCCCATGATATGCTGATGCACTGCTGGCTGAAATCTACAAGGCAAATAATCTTTTAATGAAGAGGTATTTATTAAATGGTTGTGGGCAATGGTTTTGGCCATACAAGGCAGGAAACGGGGTTCTTAAGAACACTTCATGCTACACACACACACACACACACACACACACACACACTTCTCTGTGCTATTGTGCAAGTGTGTGTGTGTGTGTGTGATTGATTATATGCTTGTATGTGCAATTTTGCTTACATAGAGGTCAGAGGCAACTTTGATTATCAGTCTTTCCTTTTACCATGTTTAAAATGTGGTCTCTTGTTCACACTTTACATGTCAGGGTACCTGTGCGGGAAGCTTCTGTGGATTCTCCATTCAGCTCCTCAGCTCTCCAGCTAGAATTACTGGTGTGTGCTCATATGCAGGGTTTTGTGTGGGGTGTGTGTATCTGAACTCAAAGCTTCATGCTTGGATAGCAAATATGTTTCACATTGTGCCATCACTCCATGCTATATGCATTTTCAGCAAGATGGAAAGACAGCTCACCTGACAGAATTAAGAAAGGGCAGCACAACTTATTCTTTCTATATGCAGAACCCAAAGAGCCTGCAAATGCACAGCTCAGTTCTTATCCCAATCATGCACTGAACATCTTTCATTTTGATATAGAATGGAACAATAGTAAGACCTCCCCACATCTAAACTGAAAGTGAATGTAATTCATACCATTGTGGTTTATATATTATAATATTAATAACTGTATTTCAGTATGCAAATGTAGAAGAAGCAAGGTGGCTTAAAATTATAGTCCCGTTCATGAAAGCTGAACTCACACAGATTCTCCATAATGACATATAAGCTCTGAAGGCCCATATAGGACACCGGGCACTGCTACCCACATTCCCAAATCAAACTAGTCTCTGAAGATTTGTTGGGTGCTGCCGTCCATGTTTATTTGCTGTCTTTTCCTTTTAGAAGTCACCCTCTTAGCCTGGACTCAGAGCCTCTAAATAGTCAGTTATATCTCCCGATGTTGGTATGAGTTGGCAAATGGCTGCTTTGCTATTTGTGAGCAATTAGAGAGCCCACAAACATCCAGCATATACCTGAATCCAATAAACCAAGTCTGTCTTATGCAGCTCAGTGGCATCCTTCACAGTACCATTTTGGGAAGCCACCCTTTACCATTTGGTCTTAGAGGGTGGGATTTCTCATCCTCCCAACACATCTGGCCACACTGTGCCTGCTATGTCTTCGCCAACACTACTATTCTGCTCAAGTTTGGCTCAGGACTTTTGTACTTTGAAGCTTATCTTCCTCTAATGCTTGCCTCCAAAGGCATCGTCTGTATAAGCCTTCCGCTATACACCAAGGTTTCTCTTGGCCTCACTTTCCAAAGATAAGTGATCTAACAACACATACATCCCAACTACATGTCACTATTTAACTGTTCCAGCCGTCTTCTAACAGTAAAAAGTCGGATTCTTAGCTACATAAAAAAAATTCCTTTCAAACGTCTTAGAACATTCTCCAACTTTTCAAAGAGACAGAGGAGTTCTCAAAAGCAACCAAGGGCATCTGCATCCATGGGCATCAAGAAAAAAGTTGATAGTCAAGATCAAAAGTATTGATGTTTTACAGGGAAGTCCCTTTATCATGAATATGCACAATAAAAAGCTCAGGCTTTAATGCTTGGACAATGGTAATCAATATAGCGGAATATATACTGCTCAAGGTCAGTATTTCAAAGAAAAATCTCTATCAGCACATTTGGAAATTCCAATGATTTACAAGTGGGTCCCAGCAAGATCACCCCTAGACAAAGCTGCCTCCTACACCGTGAATATTCTTCAAACATTTTCTCCCTGGGAAGTTAATTGTCCAGCCTGGTGTGACAGCAAGAAAAGAGGGACACAACAACTCAGCCATTCATGTTAATATGTTAATTAAACCTGCAGAGTCTTACAGCAAAGTTCTGAGCAAAGCAGGGATCAGAGCAGCATTAAAGATTCACACCCTGACGCAGGCTCAGCTGCCAATGCAATGGCTTTTTCTGAAGAAGTCAGTGTCCCTTAATAAAATTCATAGTGTTGGCAGCACCTAAATAAGATTTATTTCCCTCCCCGCCTGTCTCCAGCTCCAAGGTTTCTTAGACTGTCAGAACAGAGATCTGAGAAGTATCATTACTGTCACATGCATGAAAACAGCTGCTGCTTTCTGCAACAATGCCAAGCCTACAGAAAAAAAAAAGAAAGAAAGAAAGAAAGAAAGAAAGAAAGAAAGAAAGAAAGAAAAGAAAAGGCAGAAAAAAGAAAGAGGGAGGGGAATTTGGAAAAGGAGCAGATTTGCCCTACTTTTGAGAGGACAATGTTCATCTACTAGACCTCTGCCTTAGACTCAGGTGTAATGCTTACATAGTCTTTGACTTGCCTCTACTCACACTGCATGAAATGAAATATGGGAAAAGAGTGGAAGGAGCACACAAATGCCTAACAGGCAGTAGGGAGAGGGTCTGGCTAACTGAGGACGCAAGGCAGAAAACCTTCCTTTTCTCACACAACTATACAGCATCTCTGAGATCAGTTCCCTGCTTTAGTGAACATAATCACCAAAGCACATCGCTTCCGCATGCCCAAGGTTTGCTGTCAGCTGGTCTGGGGCTGTCACGACTTCTCTTCCCCGTCACACTCCTCATCTGAGGACTTGGGGGAAGCATTCTCACATTGACTTGATTGTTTTCATGTCTGTTTCTGTCTGTGGTGGGAGTGGCGATAACACAAATGCAAGGAAGCAGTACCAGGGGCTCATTTCCTTGTGATCTGGAGCTTACTCTCAGGTACCTGCGGAGCCATCCTTCTAAGCCCCAGGAGCTATAGATGGGCAAGTATGATAGAGCGGACCACCACAGTGGGACACAAGAGCTCACCTATGAGAAGGAACAAGCTGCCCTGGTTTTACAATGGCTTCCTAACACACACAAAAATGTGGCCGGAGGAGAAGAGGATACGGACCACTTTCTATTATCATTTCTCATTTTATGTACTGGTTCAATCAAAATCAAGTGTTTCCTCACAGTTGGTGGAAGGGAAATTCGACTTTTCTTGCATAAGTGTT